GTTGTGATAAGATATCATAAGGCCTTCCATGCACTTTATAGTATGCACCTTGGCATATTCCAGTGTCACCTAGCTAATTCATTGAAACCAACGCAAGAATATTCTTTCTGTTTGATTTTTCCACACTTTAGTTTAGCTTAGCTACCGGCTATACTGTACATGGCTTTTAAACTTCACTTCTATACTTATTATGACGAAAGTGAAAATGGCCCGAATGAATATCCTAGTGTTGTTTATTGGATGAACTGCAAGTAGCATTCATGTGAAAGAACAGTAATAAGAAGAATGCTGTCACTAAATAAAGGTTCATAGCGGATATAAGAGTTCAACTACCTCCTTAATTATCATTATTATTATTATTATTATTTTTCTCTTTTTGGTACAAAGTTGTGTAGGAGTAGTAAATTACTTTACATATAGCGTACGTAATAACAAGTTAGTAAATTATTTTGGAAGTAATGGAGAATATAATACGGCAGCGCAGCCTACACCACAGAGCACGTCTCTTTTAAGAGTTGTGAAATTTATTAGAATAACAATCCGAAGAAAAATTTTCATCAAACTTGCGAGAGAAGTTGTAATAAGGAGGTTTTATGACTATTTAGTTAAAAGCAATTTCATAGCTACAACAAAATCTTAGGTTAAAAAAAAAGTATATAAAAGAGTTTGCTTTGAGTCCCTACGAATTTTTATTTCGATTTAAGTCCTTTCCCCCTACAAATATTTGTTCTCTGAGAAAGGAAATAGTGAACAAATTGATCATAAACTATGATATTTTAATACCCTTTTCCCCCTCTGAGAAGATATTAGTCGTATATAAAATAGAATTTTCATAATAAATGCAAGTCCTTCTAATATTTGTTTGAGAATATAAATTCTTGTTGTGACCAAAAAAATAGATTTTGATTAAAATTATTAGCAAAAGTAATAAAATGATTTTGTTGATAAATTCGAGTAATTAAATATTTCACAATTAGGAATCTGGATTTATTATCATAAACTAGATTTTCTAACAAAATCAGTCGGTTTAAACTAGGATCATGAGCAAGTGCATGAATATACTCCTGAAAGATAAGTAGATATAGAAAACCGTGTTGTTGAGATCTATCAATATATAAATATCTTTAGATTTCCTCCATTTGATTTAAATTTGAATCAAAGGTAGAAGATTTGGAGGTTAGCAAATGATACATAATGCGACGCAGTCAAAACAAAGTATTTTAGTAATAAAAGATGGCATTACTTTCTCTGTTTTTTTTTTTATTGGCAGGTTGCTATAACTAGCACTGAATTTGGGTTCTAATTATTTGTTAATCGTATACTCTGTTAATAACAACAATGACAAAATTTAAAAAAAAAAAAAAACAACAGACAAAATTCACCCAATATTTTGTAGAAGTGACGAAAGGGATAACTTAGACGCTAATTGTAATTTCTTGGGGGCAATATTAATCAATATTAAAAGAGTGTTAGGCGCATCCTTGCTAGCTTTGAGATGGTGTTGTCAATTCGAGACACACAACTGATTTCACAGATCAACGTAACAAAGTGATTAGTCTACTAATTAATATTGGAAAAAGTTTTGGTTGGGCCATCACTATCTCATTTCTAGATGTTTAACGTCAAACTTTGGGCGGCAGAAGCTGGTGATTTTGGCCCCTCACTTTAGTAGGAGTAGCAAATTTCACATGATTAGACTTCTTTTCTTCTGTCTTTTGCATGCACCTGGACTATCTGCATCTTTCTTCTCCTCGTTAAGAGGTACCAGCAGAAAAGTACTATTCTTATGCCCATCTGTTTGGGCACTGAGGATGCTCACCTCGGCCATCCTTCATGCCCGAGGTGAACTCACCTCGTCCTTCATCAGAGCTCATCCGCGTCTCGGGGATATCCCCTAAGCTCGGCTAAATCCCTAGTCTACCGGGTAGGTGACCTCGGCACCTTCACCTCAGCTACACGCTAATGATGTCAGGACACCTGACATCACCCGGGATCAGTGTGCTTTATCTGAAAAGCACTGTTGCACTTAATGGCTACTGCAAAGGACTCCCCGTCACCCTGTCCGGGCGGCTACAGTGTCAGAGTCAGGGTATCTGACAGGGAGCAGAGCCGTAATGGCAGGACATGGGTCCCACCGGCATAAGACCTCCGTCCTGCCCTCCACTCTCATTCTATAAATACCCCACACCCTCCCAACAAGTAAGCATACACTGTTCATTTGCTCATACTCTAGCATTTTCTCGTTCTCATACTAACTTAATCGTCGGAGTGATACCAGGGGAGAAGCCCCGCCATTCACTTCGGACAAGAAGGTTGACTTCGGACACACGAATTCACCTCACCTCATCTCAGAGAGGACTGATTTAGGTCGGCTTACTTATCCACCAAAAATCGCCTCTTCAATTGGCGCCGTCTGTGGAAACGAGATTACTGCTAAAATGAGATCCACGCGCTCCAGAAGCGGAAGAGTTCCCTCAACTGGGGCTGGGCAGACATCCGGAGCCCAGCAAGATCGTATCTCTGAGGAACATGGGTCCCAAAGGACCCAACCCAACAATGAGGAGGCCATCGCCAAGATGGCCGAGTTTGTCACGGACAACCCCAACATCTTTGAGGAACTAGGAAGGTACCTCAAGAGGCAGGGAAAAGAAAAAGTCGAGTCTTCCAAGAGGAGACCGACGAAGTCCCCTGAAGTGCCCTCAGGCGAGGACTCCGAAGATGGGCGTCTATCTCGGAGCACCTCCAGGCGAGCCTCATCCAAGGCAACCTCCAAGATTGCCTCCATCTCCCGAGCGTTTTCTCGGGGACTACTGGGAAAACGAGCCGAGGACCCACCTCGGCGTCCCGGAGGCCTAGCTTCTGATTACATGAGGGCTCCGCCCTTCACTGATGACATCAACGGGGAAATGGTGCCCCCGAACTTTAAGCTTCCAAATTTGCACACCTATGACGGCGGAGGTGACCCCGAGGATCACCTCCGCGCCTTCATCTCCGCATTCCGACTCTACTGCGTCCCCGACGCCGTGATCTGTCGGGCTTTCCCCATCTTCCTGCACGGGACCGCCCGGAAGTGGTTCTGGAGTTTAGAACCGGGGAGCATTTCCTCCCTGGATGAGCTGATAGACCGGTTCATTCACCGCTTTGTGTCGTCTCGACCAATAACAAAGACTTCAGCTTACCTCTTGAACCTGCAACAGGGTCAGGGCGAGTCACTTCGCTCGTACGCCCAAAGGTTCAACGAGGAGAATGTACAGATACCTGACCAGAACGAGCAGGTAACTATTGCTGCTTTCACCAACGGGTTAATAGCAGGGATCTTTAACACCGAAATCCATCGGCAGTACCCCCGTACACTCCGGGAGCTCTGGGAAAGGGTGGACCAGGGAATCCGAAGTGAAGATGTAAATCGCATGAAGCGAGAAGCCCAAACATCTCGTACGGGGCAAGATCCCCGAAGGAGGAAAGACACTGGCCGAGGTGAACCAGGCCCAAGTGGCACTTCAAACCAACCCCGAGACCGCCGAAGTGTCTTCGACCGGATCGTGAAAGGCAGATCGTCCACCTCGGACGCCGAGCTGACGCCCCTCAATTCGAGCCGGGCCCACGTCCTGGCTGTGATGAGGCAGAATCACCTCGGCCGAAACCCTCCCGAAATTCCGGGGAGGAGAGATAAGAGGAACTCGAACCTCTACTGTGCCTACCACCGTGATGTAGGGCACGAGACTGAAGACTGCAACGACCTGAAGCGGGAAATCGAAAATTTGATCCGGCAAGGATACCTGAAGCAATTCGTCCGCAAGGATGGAGGCTTCAACCGAAGTGTCTCCCACCGGGAGAACCGGGGCCCTCGCCGCGACGACCGACGGGACACGAACATGCATTGCCGAGATCCCGAAGACCGTAGGGAGGACAAGCAGCCCCCACGCGATGGCTCACCGGGCTACGGCCCCAACATCGCCGGGGTGATCAACACCATCGCGGGAGGACCAACGGGAGGAGACAGCCAGAACTCCCGGAAGCGGACCTACCGCCAGGCCGAGATGGAGGTGGCCGAGCCGAGCTCTCGGCTGTCTGAGGTCATCACCTACGGTCCCGCTGACCCCGTTCCTGCGGCCTCCAGCAATCATGAAGCTCTTGTGATTGAAGTCCTCACCAACAACTACGTAGTCAAAAAGGTCTACGTAGACCCCGGAAGCTCGGTAGACGTCTTGTACTACCGGACTTTCGAAAGTTTGAAACTGACCAGGGAGCAACTCACTCCTGTCAGGACTCCCCTCGTGGGATTCGGGGGACACGTCGTCCACCCGGAAGGCATGTTGACCCTGGTGGTAACAATCGGGCGTCATCCACGCTGCCGAACTGTGCCTGTCAGTTTTGCGGTGGTCAAAGCAGACTCCCCCTACAATATGCTGATAGGCCGGCCCACGCTCAATGCCTTGAGAGCCGTATACTCCACCTACCACCTGAGCTTTAAATTCCCAACATCTGCGGGGGTGGCCGAGCTAAGCAGCGATGTGGGCGCCGCCCGGGAATGCTACCTCGTCACCATTCAAGCAGCAGTCACCCCCCGGCCCTCACCGAGGTCAGAAGAAAAGAGGCCAGCGGTCCTCTCCATAGACTGCATCGACCCTCAGAAGGCAGAAGAGCCCAACAGGCTGGAGCCCGGGGATGAGGTGGAACTGGTGGTAGTGGATGAAGCGAAACCTGACCAAGTGGTCCAAGTAGGGGCTGGACTACCCTCACCCCTGAAAGAAGAAATGATCTCCCTGATCAAAGACCACCGAGACTTCTTCGCGTGGTCCGCGGATGAAGTGGTCGGAGTGCCACCCGAGCTCATGACTCACCAACTCAACGTTGACCCGCAGGCCCGACCTGTGCGACAGAAACGAAGGCACTTCGGCCCCGAACGTAGCCAAGCCATATCGGATGAGGTCGACAAGCTCTCGCCGGCCAAGATGATCCACGAGGTCCAATATCCCACCTGACTGTCCAATCCAGTCATGGTAAAAAAGGACACCGGGGGATGGAGAATGTGTGTCGACTTCACCGACCTCAACAAGGCCTGCCCCAAAGATTGCTATCCTCTGCCAAGGATAGACGCCCTCGTCGACGCGGCGATGGGGTATGAAATCCTCTGCTTCCTAGATGCCTTCAAAGGGTATCATCAAATAGGAATGAGTGAGGAGGACCAAGAGAAAACGGCGTTCTACACCGACCGAGGTACTTATTGTTACACTACCATGCCCTTCGGGCTAAAGAACGCCGGGGCGACCTACCAAAGGCTGATCAACCGACTCTTCCAGAATCAGATCGGCCGCAATGTGGAGGCCTATGTGGATGACATCCTCGTTAAAAGCCTCGCCACTTCATCCTTTCTGTTAGACGTGAGGGAAGTCTTGGGTGTCCTGCGAGACTCGAGGATGAAGCTGAATCCCAAGAAGTGCGTCTTCGGCGTCACCTCGGGAAAATTCTTGGGGTATCTGGTTTCCCACCGGGGAATCGAGGCCAACCCCGACAAGGTGAAAGCCATTTAGGACATGTCTCCACCCCGGAACATCCGAGAAGTCCAACGGCTAAATGGACGCCTGGCCGCGCTGAATCGCTTCCTGTCCCAATCAGCCGAGAAAGCTCTGCCTTTCTTTAAGGTGCTGAAAAATGCTGACCAGTTCGCCTGGATTGAGGAGTGTTAGGCTGCTTTCGACCAGCTGAAGCAGTACTTGCATCACCTACCAACTCTCGCTTCACCTCGGCCCGAGGAGAAGCTCTACCTCTACCTCTCCGCAGCCGACGAGGCTGTCAGCGCTGTGCTCATCCGAGATGAGGGCACCCAAGTGCCGGTCTACTACGTCAGCCGAGCCCTCCGCGGGCCGGAGACCCGATACACGCAAGTGGAAAAACTTGTGCTGGGGCTCGTCCACGCAGCTCGGCGGTTGAAACCCTACTTCTTAGCCCATCCCATCTCGGTAAGGACCGACCAGCCCATTCGGCAAATATTGGTGCGACCCGAAGCTTCTGGTCGCCTCACCAAGTGGGCTGTCGAATTGGGAGAATATGACTTGTCCTACGAGCCACGCACCGCCATAAAAGCTCAAGCTTTAGCTGACTTCCTTGCTGAGCTCACCTTCACGGAAGGTCCAGAGTCCACCTCAGCCTTACCCGAGGTGTCCATCTCATCCTTGTGGACATTGTATGTCGATGGATCCTCTAATGGAGACGGCTGTGGAGCCGGACTGCTCCTGGAAGGACCTCAGGGGGAGGTTTGCTCTTACGCCCTCCGCTTCGACTTCCCGGCCACCAACAATGAAGCCGAGTACGAGGCTCTAATCGCTGGACTCCAGCTAGCCCGCAAGCTCGGCGCCCAGCAAATCCACGTCCGCAGTGACTCCCAGCTCGTGGTACGCCAAGTTATTGGTGAGTACGAGGCCAAGGATGAGACCATGCAACGGTACCTCTCCAAAGTTCACCAACTCACCGCGTACTTCAAATCATTCGAAATCCAAAGGATCGCTCGGTCCCAGAATAAGCGAGCCGACGCCTTATCCCGGCTGGCTTCCACTTCATTCTCTGACCTCAACAAAACCGTCTTGGTGGAGGTCCTGAGTGAACCAGGGTACGTGGAAGAGGTGGCCTGCCCCGTGCACTGTGAAGAAACTTGGATGACCCCGTTCATCCTTTTCTTGGGTCAAGGAGTCCTTCCCGAAGACCGAGCTGAAGCAAGGAAGATACAGCGCAAAGCCGCTCGGTATGCACTCCGCGATGGAGAACTATATAAGCGCTCCTACCTCGGCCCATGGTTGAGGTGTGTCACCCCCGAGGCAGGACGCGAGGTCCTCCACGAGATCCACGAGGGCCTATGTGGGGCTCACATCGGCCACAGGATGCTAGCCAAGAAAGCTATGCTCCTGGGATATTTCTGGCCATCACTTCGGCAAGACTCCCAGGACCTCGTTCTCGGCTGTCCTTCCTGCCAAATCCACGCACCCGAGCGCCACCAGCCTTCAAACTTCATGGTCCCCATCACTTCACCCTGGCCGTTTGAGCAATGGGGGACAGACATCATAGGTCCCTTCCCCAAAGCCGTCGGGGGCTATACATTCTTAGTAACCGCTGTGGATTACTTCACCAAGTGGGTCGAGGCCGAGCCACTTCGGACCATCTCAGGGCTGGCCATTCAAAAATTCTTTTGGAAGTGCATTATCTGCCGCTTCGGCATACCGCGGGTCATCATCTCGGACAATGGGAGACAGTTTGCCGAGAACCCGTTCAAGACTTGGTGCGAGAACCTCGGCATCAAACAACACTTCACTTCGGTAGGCCACCCCCAGGCCAATGGTCAAGCAGAAAACTTCAACCGGACTCTTCTACATGGTCTCAGAACCCGACTACACCGAACTGGGTCATCTTGGGTGGAGGAACTCCCCAGTGTCTTGTGGTCGTATCGGACCACGCCGAGGTCAGCGACGCAAGAAACCCCATTCTCCCTGACCTACGGCGCCGAGGCGGTCATCCCGGCTGAGATCCTTACCCCCAGCCCTCGGCTGGCAGCCTATGCCGCCGAGGTGAACGACGAAGAGAGGCAGCTGGACCTCGACCTCGTCGAAGAACGAAGGAATCTCGCCTCAGCCCGGATAGCTTCTTACAAGAACACACTGGCACACTACTACAATGCCCGCGTGAGACATCGTAGATTCCAGGCTGGAGACTTGGTTCTTAGAAAAAACTCAGTCAGCCGAGCTGAACCGCAAGGAAAATTATGCCCGAAATGGGAAGGCCCTTACCGAGTTGTGGAATCTGACCCTAAGGGGTATTGTAAACTGAGTTACCGAGATGGCTCATTAGTGCCGAGGTCTTGGCAGGCCGAGAACCTCAGATTGTATTACGCCTGAATTTTTAATCAAGTAATGACTTCAGCTATTATGTTATTCTTCAACATCGTTGTTACGCTATTAAAAAATAAGGGGGACAAGCAAGGGATGAAGTCAAAGCAAGAAATTAAAGCACTGAGACGAGAAGAAGTATGCTTTCATTCAATAAGAAAGAGCGTTACAAAGTACAAGGCCGAGGTCCGAATGCTACTAAGCACTCTCCACCTCGGCCACCCCCTTAAAACCGCGAGCCTAGACCCCCGTCTCGGCTCCATCCCCGGTCTTGGCTCTCTCCTGGGCATCCTTCTCTTCGGCCTCTTTTCCGCCGGGGTGAACTTCATCTCCATGCTCTTTGCCGACGTCCTCTTCGGCTTCGTCTCCCTCAGCGTCCTCTCCTCCAGTTTCTTCCACTTCCACGTCCTCGAACACTTCGTCGAGTTCGGACAGCCACTTGTTGAACTCGACCTGGACTTCGGCCAAATTCCTTCCTGCCTGAATGCCTTCGGCCATCCGATCGCATAACTCCTTGGAGTCCTCGTTGTAGCTGGTATGGTTTTTTAAGGACTCCAAGGCCTCGGAGGAGAGGTGAGCTGCGGCCTCGTCAACGGCCGATGTGAAGCCAAACATGAAGTTAGGCGTAAGTAGTTGGCCGAGGTCCTTGATGAAGGTCTCGGACTTCCGAAAAGCGTCTACGGCCGAGGCTCCGGCACCCTCGAGAGCTTGCTCGTGGGACGCCTTCACCTCGTCCCCCCTCTTCTGCTCCTCTTCGAGGGCCGATCGGAGACTGTTGATAGTAGCCGCGGCCTCCTCATCCTTCACCCCGGCCTCCTTAAGCCGCCTTTCAAGTTCGGCCTTCTCAGACTCGGACACCAACAGTTTTTTCTCCAACTTGGAGATTTGATTCTGCAACTTGCCGGTGTCCTGTTCCTCGACCAGAGCACAGTAGCGGTGTGCCATCTCGGCCACAAAGGCCGAAGTGGAAGCTGTGGACACCATGAGACTTTGAACCACCTCGGCCGGGCTCAGCTTCTTCATGAACTCCAAGTCCCTCGGCAAGGGGGAGTGCATCACTAGTTCTTGGGCAACCCGAGGATGCTGGCACCTGTCGTTGACCGAAATCTTTCAGTCCGGACACCAATGCCCGCCGGGGTGCGTCTTATCGTCTCCGGGAAACACTGGGGGGCTATGGAAACGATTCCATAGCGAGGTCCCCGACACCGGATTAACTGGAGGCTTCAGCTGCTTGCCTCGGCCAGAAGGAGGTGTGACTGTTGTAACAACTCTGAGGGGAACTCCCTCTGGCACAGACGAGGTGGACCCAGCAGTCGCCGTGGCCGAGCTGCTCTGGCCAACCTTGGTGGGAGTGCCTTTAGACGCCGAAGTCTTAGCGGCTGGTCCTTGTGACTTCTTCTTCTTTGGCGGAGGTGCCGATGTCTCGTCAGTGCTCTTCCTCTTCTGCCTCTTGGCCACTTCGGACGAGCCAGAGACGACGAGGTCGGACAGTTTTGTCACTGCACAAAGAGCAAATATTATCATGTGCCTTAGCCGAAGTGAAATCAAAGCTATGAAAGAAAATTACAAGGTATCTTAAGTTTAGTGGAGGTGAAGGGAGTCTTGTCAGGAGGGATCAAAGCTCGGCTAATTCCCCCGTCAACCAGCACGGCTTCGGGGTAGTCCAGACTGTATATCCGAAGTCCCGACCCCATCAGCTTCTGGAAGTCCTCCTCCTTGGCATCCCCAGCAGAGGGATCGGCCTTCGCTTTGATTGGCCTCCACCAAAAGCCCCTGGGGAAGTCCACTTCGGACACAAAGAAGTAGTCGCGCTTCCAATTCTTGATTGAGCTGGGAGCGCCGACCACCAACTTCGGAATGGCATTGCTCCGATTGCCAACATAGAACCATCCCTTGTCTGTCCCGTGCGCCTTGAGGGTATAGCATCGGCGGAAGAGGTCGACAGACGGAGTCACCTCCTGATGTCGGCACAGCATCTCGAACCCAATAATGATGCGGATCGCATTCGGGGCGAGTTGGGTAATCCTCACGCCGAAGTGACGGAGCAGATCCCTGAAGAACCTCGACGTAGGCATCCTCAGCCCGGCCTCCAATTGTTGGACATAGATGGCCACCATGCCAATGGGGGGCTTCTCGGCTGAGTCATCCACCCCGGGCGGTGTGATCTCGTACCCCGACCGGAAAGGGTACTTGTTTATCACCTTCACGGCCCTATCTCTTCCGATGCGACTCCTAAACTTCGGCATCTTGCCGAAGTCGATGTTGGATGTATCTTCGGGAGCGACAGGCTCCAGTGCGTCCTCGTCGTGTGGTATCTCGACGCCGAGCTCCTCATCATAGGCCACTTCGGAGCCACCCTCGCTCATCTCGGATGACTCCAACTCGACGTCAACCCCCTCGCGGGTCTCCTCGGTGGATCCTTCCCCAGAGCTCGGCGTCGACCCATCAGAGCTGGACGTCGTCACTTCTACAGGATCCGGCCTCACCTCGGTTCGGTAACTCGGTGTCACGGTTTCTTTGTAGGTCTTAGCTGTTTTGGCCATGGGTGAAAGATGAGGTAAGAAAGAAGAAGAATACTTACTATTGCCTACGGAGTTGGACGAAGTGGATGACCTCGGCTTTGATCTCGGCTACTAGACCGACCTCGGCTGAAAAAACTGACCTCGGCTACGCTCGTGAACTTGCAAATCTCAAATGAAAATGAAAGGTGTGAGAAGTGCGGTGAGGGGGCCCCCCTATTTATAAGGGTTTGGGCGGAATATGAAGAGGCGGCAAGAATGCGAAAGGACGGCCACGTTCGAACTCAGAACGTCGTGCCTCCCTCTATCCTCATTAATGCCCCGTCCTTTCGGCTGACACCCTGCACGAAACGTCCCACTACTTCACGACGCGACGGTTACCAGTGACCACGTCCTGTCAACTGACACGTCCACGTGTCGCGTCCCCGCATCTTCCGGGGCAGTTTCGGGACTCCGACTCTCTACAACTTCGGCACAAGGAAGCCTCGGAACCTCCCTAGCCCGGAGCTCCCGAGGCTTGGGGGGCTTATTGAGGATGCTCACCTCGGCCATCCTTCATGCCCGAGGTGAACTCACCTCGTCCTTCATCAGAGCTCATCCGCGTCTCGGGGATATCCCCTAAGCTCGGCTAAATCCCTAGTCTACCGGGTAGGTGACCTCGGCACCTTCACCTCAGCTACACGCTAATGATGTCAGGACACCTGACATCACCCGGGATCAGTGTGCTTTATCTGAAAAGCACTGTTGCACTTAATGGCTACTGCAAAGGACTCCCCGTCACCCTGTCCGGGCGGCTACAGTGTCAGAGTCAGGGTATCTGACAGGGAGCAGAGCCGTAATGGCAGGACATGGGTCCCACCGGCATAAGACCTCCGTCCTGCCCTCCACTCTCATTCTATAAATACCCCACACCCTCCCAACAAGTAAGCATACACTGTTCATTTGCTCATACTCTAGCATTTTCTCGTTCTCATACTAACTTAATCGTCGGAGTGATACCAGGGGAGAAGCCCCGCCATTCACTTCGGACAAGAAGGTTGACTTCGGACACACGAATTCACCTCACCTCATCTCAGAGAGGACTGATTTAGGTCGGCTTACTTATCCACCAAAAATCGCCTCTTCAGGCACCAAAGATGAAAGAAACAAAACACAGAATATAGTGGGATTGAAAGCGAACTACCCTAAGAAGCAATCAAGGAGTTTAGATATACGATTACATTCATACAGGTTCATATCAGCTGAGCTTTAAGTTGTCCTATTTGATTGAACTAACAAATAATTGAGCTTCGGAATCACCGACGCGATCTTCTTCTAGCAGATTCCACGCTCATTGTAATTGTTAGTTCAAGCTAGCATATATTTCACTTCTTTACGTTGTTGGATTCTACCCAGAAAACAAAAAAAGGGAAAGCATTGAGATATCTATGAAGAAGAAGAGGGAATTGGTTTAGGCCAAGTAGTAGTAATAAATTAAAGCTTTGCTTAACGGGGAAAAGAGAGACAGAGAGAGTCAGAGCTTTGAAATCTCAGCAACGAGAAGGGTAAGGGTAAATAATGGTTGTATTACGAAGTCATGATGACAAATAGGCAAATTCCAATCTGTCTTGGACCAAAAATAACTGGGCGGCAAAGATGGTTCCAAAATAATACATTCAACTCCGCTTGACCAAGTTTGCAACCAAGATAATTACTGGGGTTAGCCCATTGATTAGGGCAGTCTTGTAGAGTTCTTCCTACCGTAGGTTTAGGACTCGAATCTTGTAACGAGTAGTAGTATTAAAAAAAAAATCAGTCTCGCCTTCATTCGTTTAAACTTTATTGATTTCTTTGTTGGGTCTAAATTTCACTGTAAAGATTTTTTTTCAGTATAAGTGGAAGGATTCATATTCGAAAATTTCACTTACACTCTCTTTCTTCAAATCACTCTACCCATCCCCCCTCACTACGAGGTTTGTATTTACAATATTTTATACTTTAAGCCCTACAATTTCACAAGACGTTACAATTTCAGGCTATGGCCTAAAAAAAATTACCTTCTCTCTGGGGCCTAGAACGCAGAATCAAGGGCCATATATGGGAAGCATTCCTCCCGGGTCCTCCTCAGAAAATGCAACTTCTTATTTATATATATGTATATAGGGCAAACTAAAGCTAATATATTCAATAACATAAGCCAGTTAAGAGTTCACATGCGGTGGGAAGGCAACTCCTACCAAATCGAATACCAGAATATTACAAATACTGGAGGAAGGCCTATCGAGAATGAAAAGCAGCTGCTACATTAGCTTCCATGCATATGCCGAACTTGGAGTTGGGGATCCATCTTACCAAGTACCTGCAGTCAAATAAGAGGGGGCCCAGTTCATGAATATTTTCACGATTGTTAGTAACAAGATCAATAGCCGCCTTTGGACCTAATTCAATTGGGATGGGGAGATATATATACATATATATATATATATGTATATGTGTATATGTATATACGTA